CCCATTTGGTCTATTGCATTCCTGTGTTTCCTGATACCAGTTACTGCCTGATCTTCTGTTACTGACATCCGTCTTGCCCCGATTCTGCTCCTGATTGCCGCCTGTACTGACCCTTGGGCTGTTCTTGAATTACTGTATGTCTCTGCCTGCTCCTCCTGTCATATACCATCATGCCTGTTACCGACTCTGGCTTGACTTCTGACTACCTTCTGCCTGCCGCTTCAACTGCTTGAAAGTTCCCCGACCCGGACCATCTGACCCTGCCTTGTGCTGTCCTCACAGCCTCTACACTGCCATCCTGTTCAGCATCAGTTCCAGTTTCATCTGCAGCCCTATTCCGGTCCCCTGGGGTCCCTGCTCTCCTGATGACACATCAGCATCAACCAGCGAGAGACTTTCAGGCACTCCTTCCACCCCATCTGAAACTGGCGTTCCTTTCACCTTACCAGGGGCTCCTAACCGGGCTATAACAGAGAAGGCCCTTCTCCCCGCACTCCAGGCTCCTCCATCAGGTACATTACATCTACCATGGAGGTATTTGTATATCGCGCTCTCCATATCTCCTCTCAAGTGTCTCTTCTTACAGGGAGAATACATTTTGTGTTTATAGTCGTTCCTCATAATTGGGTCCTCCAGTCCCCTTATTTAGCTTTGGCTTCCCTTCTCGGCGACTCTCTCCAGTATCCAAGCACATCCTTCCTGAGGACCTGGTGACCAGAACTGGACGGCACACTCCAGATGTGGGCCAAACCAGAGTTTTATAAAGTGGGTAAATTATAGTCCTATCTCTGAGGAATCCCATGTTTAATGCAACGCTAAGTATTCTGCTGGCTTTGCTTGCTGCAGCTTGGCATTGCATCCATTCATTGTGCTTGAGCCTGTGATCTACTAAGACCCCCAAGATCCTTTTCCATTCCCAGGAATCCCCCAATGGCTCCTCCCCCAGCGAGTAACTTGCTTTCATATTTTTGGACCCCAAAGTGCATTAACTGTACATCTGTCTCAAACATTAAACCTCATTTGCCGTGTAGTTGGCCACCCCTTTATTTTATGGAGGTCTTCATGTAAGGTTTCCTACATCCTGCTGGAGAGGTTATTGCCTGCTTAGCTTTGTATATCAGAAAACACTGAGATTGAGCTTTTTATACCTGCTAAAAAGTAGGGTCCGTTACCACCACATGTAATTAAATGTGTATTTCCAAATAAAAATCCTAATTTATTGGTTTAAATAGACTTTTTAATATAAAAACCTACTTCATGATTTGTGTTTAGATTGTAATGTTTGGAAAATGACAGCAGCAACTTAACCAGTTCCCTACTGCACTATAGCTGAAAGGAGGGCTACACAGCGTGGTTGTCTGGTTCTGGGACGATGTCCATGATGTCATTCCCAGAACACGCCCCCCCTGCCGCACCCTCAGCAGCGCGCACGACCCGGCGCCGCCAGTTGATCTCTGTGTTATACAGACACAGCTGACACTGGGATATTGGTAAACAGAAGCCAATCACAAGCGACCTTTTTTACCATGTGATCAGCTGTGTCCAATGACACAGCAGATCTCCGGTAAATACAATTGCCGTTATTGGCTGCACTTTCTCCTCATGCTGTCACAGAGTGAGGAAAGTATTTCCGATAACCGGCAAATTGTCAGAGAAGTGATCGGCACTGATCATCAGGCACTGATGATCAATGCCCTGATGATCATGGCCCCAGCATGCCACCCATCCTGTGCCACGCAACTGTGCCGCACATTGCTGCCCACCCTGTACCCATTCAGTGCCTCCCACCTGTACCCATTCATGCCGCCCACCTGTCCCATCAGTGCCACCCACCTTGCCCACCCAGCCAGTTCCACCCACCTTTGCCTAGCATTTCCACCCACCTGTGCACATCAGTACCACCCACCAGTGCCCATCAGGGCCACCTATCAGTGCTGACCAGCAGTGCCTCCATCAGTGCCATCTATCAATGCCGCCTATCAGTGCAGCCTTATCAACGCACATCAGTGAAAGGAGAAAAATTACCTGTTTGCTAAATTTTATAATAAAACAAAGAAAAACTTTTTCTTTTTCACATTTTTTTGCTTAATAGTGCAAAAAAACAAAACACCCAACAGCAATGAAATACCACCAAAAGAATGTTGTATTTGTGTGTGAAAAAAAATGAATAAAAATGTTATATGGGGGCAGTGTTGCATGACTGCGCAATTGTCATTAAAAGTGCGACAGCGCTGAAAGCTGAAAAATTAGACCTGGCAGGAAGGGGTAGAAGTGCCCTGGTAGGCCGAGGGGTTATATTGTACGTCATGTACACTCACATTTGCTGCATTCATTGTTGTACATGACACTTAAGTTAAACATTTAAGTTGAGAACCTTAATACATTGACCTCGGACGAAGTGAATTTTGCTCCACATTAAGAGCTGTATTGCAGTCTCCTCCAACAATTCACTGAACACAAAACAAGTCTAGGCGTGTCAGGACATCTTACAGGGGACAATCATTGCTTTAGAAAAGAAAGTCTACTATATGAAATGTCTTCTCAGCCTATAGCTAGTGGACTAATAGTAAAAGGCCACATCGCTAACACCTCCTCCCCCCCCCAATCTCTGCTGGTTCTCCCAGTGTTTGCTTTTAGCCTGCAGAGATGGTATGAATGATCACATTGGAGTGAATTTAGACTTGTTCTGGATGATTGTTATGTTGTCATACAAAATAAAAATATATATGAATAAGTGAGCGACTCTCTCGACAGCAGCCAATGCACCCAAAGGCAATCCAGCAAAACCTTCAAACATACACAAAAAATAAAAGGTCGGCGGCGCTGATAGATATAGCATAGGGTCTATATGCTCATGTGTATCTTAAATGATCAGAAGACACACTGTGATGTATAACAGAAAAATAGTAATAATTATGAACATAAAAGTAGATATAAATGTAATGTCCAGACAAAACAGACGCAGGAATCTTGCATAGAAGCTACTAAGCCCAGATCCCACGGTACGCTAAATAAAAGCGCATATGTAGTATGACCCCTGGGAATCACTCATCAAGCGGTACAGTGGGTATCCAGGAGCAGGCAATCTTGGTGAATTGGACAGCATCCAGATCCAGAGATCCCCTTTAGATCAAATGAAAAGAAGGCGAGGAACTCCCTCCGGTGGCCAAAATAAGTATGGTATCCTGAAAATTAATTAGCTCCAAATAGGAGCCAAAAAAACTCCATAGTGTAGTATGATGAATAAAAACATTTATTTCCAAAAATATATATATTCCCAAATGTTAAAACAGGGCAGAAAAACACTGATCAGTGAATAGTGTAATAAAATGGTAAACTGACCAAAAGTAATATGGCCGCCGGGCCTCCTCGTGGCTCCGGGCGGCTAAAAATGTCACGCTCCTGCTGGCTCCTCCTAAGGCCTTTCGTGCTCCAGCACATCATCAGGTTGGCCTCCCCCTCTGATGAATGTGCTGGAGCACGAAAGGCCTTAGGAGGAGCCAGCAGAGCGTGACATTTTTAGCCGCCCGGAGCCACGAGGAGGCCCGGGCGGCCATATTACTTTTGGTCAGTTTACCATTTTATTACACTATTCACTGATCAGTGTTTTTCTGCCCTGTTTTAACATTTGGGAATATATATATTTTTGGAAATAAATGTTTTTATTCATCATACTACACTATGGAGTTTTTTTGGCTCCTATTTGGAGCTAATTAATTTTCAGGATACCATACTTATTTTGGCCACCGGAGGGAGTTCCTCGCCTTCTTTTCATTTGATCTAAAGGGGATCTCTGGATCTGGATGCTGTCCAATTCACCAAGATTGCCTGCTCCTGGATACCCACTGTACCCGCTTGATGAGTGATTCCCAGGGGTCATACTACATATGCGCTTTTATTTAGCGTGTCCGGTGAGTGCGCAATTTTACCGTGGGATCCTGGGCTTAGTAGCTTCTATGCAAGATCCTGCGTCTGTTTGTCTGGACATTACATTTATATCTACTTTATGTTCATAATTATTACTATTTTCTGTTATACATCACAGTGTGTCTTCTGATCATTTAAGATACACATGAGCATATAGACCCTATGCTATATCTATCAGCGCCGCACCTTTTATTTTCTGTGTATGTTGTCATACAACTTTGTATTTCTCCTGGTCTTCAAAGGTGTATGCCGAATGTGGGAGGAGTGTGATTGTGTTAGTATTTCCCGATGTGTATCTACACCTAGAAGATATTTCTCATTAACCACTTGCCCTCCAGAGGATTTACCCCCCTTAATGACCAGATCTCTTTTTGCTACTCGGTGCTGCACTGTTTCAACTGATAATTGCGCGGTCATGCAATGCTATACCCAAATGAAATTTACGTCCTTTTTCACCAAAATAGAGCTTTCTTTTGGTGGTATTTGATCACCTGTGCACTTTTTTTTTGTGTTATAAACAAAAAAAGACCGAAAAGTTTGAAAAAAGAATATGTTTTACTTTTGGCTATAAAAAAATATATAGTAAACTTAAAGTTAGTCATAAATTTAGGCCAAAATGCTTCCTCCATGTTTTTGGTAAAACAAAAATCCCAATAAGTGTATATTGATTGTTATGTGTGAAGGTTATAGCATCTACAAACTATGGTATAGATCAGGGGTCCTCAAACTTTTTAAACAGGGGGCCAGTTCACTGTCCCTCAGACCGTTGGAGGGCCGGACTATAGTTTTAAAAAAAAAAAGCTATGAACAAATGCCCCATCATTGGTGTCAGTGTGAAGAAACGTGCCCCATCATTGGTGTCAGTGGGAAGAAACTTGCCCGTCATTGGTGTCAGTGGGGGGAGGAATAGTGCCCCGTCATTAGTGTCAGTGGGAGGAGGAATAGTGCCCCATCATTAGTGTCAGTGGGAGGAATAGTGCCCCATCATTGGTGTCAGCGGGAGGAATAGTGCCTCATCATTAGTGTTAGTGAGAGGAATAGTGCCCCATCACTGGTGTCAGTGGGAGGAATAGTGCCCCATCATTGGTGTCAGTGGGAGGAATAGTGGCCCATCATTGGTGTCAGCGGGAGGAATAGTGCCCATCATTGGTGTCAGTGGGAGGAATAGTGCCCCATCATTGGTGTCAGTGGGAGGAATAGTGCCCCATCATTGGTGTCAGCGGGAGGAGGATAGTGCCTCATCATTAGTGTCAGTGGGAGGAATAGTGCCCTATCATTAGTATCAGTGGAGGAATAGTGCCCCATCATTGTGTCAGTGGGGGGAGGAATAGTGCCCCATTATTGGTGTCAGTGGGGGGAGGAATAGTGCCCCATTTGTTCAGTGGGAGGAATAGTACCCCACATTACATTACATTGAGTTTATATAGCGCCAAAGTGCCCCATCAGCGCTGTACAATAGAGGGGGACAATACATGCCCCACATTACAGCAACTACAAACAGTGCACACAGGGTGTAAGAGGGCCCTAGTGCCCCATCTTGGTGTCTAGGAGGGAGGGGGTAGTGGTACATCAGGAAGTGGCTGTGGGGGATGGAGTGGTAGGGGAGGAATAGTGCCCCATCATTAGTGAGGGTGGGGGTGGAATAGTGCCCCATCATTGGTGTCAGGTGAGGAATTCAGTGCCGCCATGAAGGTGTCAGGAGGAGGAAGGTGACAGTCTGATGGATTGGGGGAATAGTGAGTTCCAGAGGATGGGGGAGGACCTGGAGAAGTCATTGCAGACGTCAGTGGGAGGAGAATAGTGCCCCATAGAAGGAGGTGTCAAGAGGGAAGGAATAGGGTAGGTGGTACCTGGAGAATCAGGTCGGTGATTGGTGTCAGGGGCAGGTTGTGAATGGCTTTGTAGGTCAGAGTGATAGTTTGAATTTGTGCGTTGGGGCGATAGGGAGCCATCAGGGTGTCAGCAGAGGAATAGTGGCCCATCATTGGTGTCAGTGGTGAGGAATAGTGCCGCATCATTTGTCAGGATGGTCTGAATAGGGAGAGCCTGCACTGGGGTAGGCCGTGGGAGGAGGGAGTTGCAGTAGTCAAGGCGTGTGTAAGTGGGAGGAAAGTAGTTTAGCGGTGTCTTGGGTAAGGAAGGAGGAATAGTGGCGATATTGCGGAGTGGGAGGCATGTGTTTGTGAGTGATTTGATATGAGTTGGAAGGAAGGTTAGAGTCCATCAATGGTGTCAAGGGAGGAATTGCGGTGGCGGGATTGATGGTGGTGATGTTAGTAGTGATGGATAGGATGGTGGGGGGGGCATTGGTGTCAGTGGGAAGACGAGTGCTCGGTTTTGGAGAGGTTGAGTTTGAGGAAATAGTGACATCCATCAGAGATGTCGTTTAGGAGGGAGTGATGCGTGCCCCAAAATGGAGGTGAGTGAGGGTGGGAGGTAATTTGAGTGTCATCAGCATAGAGATGGTAGTTGAAGCCGTGGGAGTGTATGAGTTTGCCAAGGGAGGAGGTGTAGATGGAGAAGAGAAGGGGTGTCCAAGGACAGAGCCAGTGGGGGACCCCAACATTGAGGAGGGAAGGGGAGGTGGCACCATTGTATGAAACGCTGAATAGTGAGCCCATCGGGATAGTCAGTGGGAACCAGGAGAGAGCAGTGTCCCTCATGATGTCAAGGGAGAATAGTTTATTAAGGTGGAGGGGGTGGTCAATAGTGTCGAAGGCCGCATTGAGTGTCCAGGAATAGGAGGAATAGAGTAGTCGCCTTTGGCTTTGGCGGTTAGTAGGTCGTTGGTGATTTTGAGGAGGGCCCCATCGGTGGAGTGTAGGGGACGGAAGCCGGACTGTAGTGGATCAAGGAGGTTGTTGTCAGTTAGGTGGGCACTTAGGCGGTTTGTAGACATGGGGGGGAATAGTGCCCCGTCATTGGTGTCAGTGGGAGAAGGGGATAGTGTCCCAACATTGGTGTCAGTGGGAGGAATAGTGCCCCATCATTGGTGTCAGTGGGAGGAATAGTATGTCATTGGTGTCAGTGGGGGGGGAATAGTGCCCTGTCATTGGTGTCAGTGGGAGGAATAGTACGTCATTGGTGTCAGTGGGGGGGGAATAGTGCCCCATCATTGGTGTCATTGGGAGGAACAGTGCCCCATCTTTGGTGTCAGTGGGAGGAATAATACGTCATTGGTGTCAGTGGAGGGGAATAGTGCCCCGTCATTGGTGTCAGTAGGGGGGAAATAGTGTCCCAACATTGGTGTCAGTGGGGGAATAGTGTTCCATCGTTGGTGTCAGTGGGGAAGGAATAGTGTTCCATCGTTGGTGTCAGTGGGGGGAGGAACAGTGCCCCATCTTTGGTGTCAGTGGGAGGAATAATACGTCATCGTGGTGTCAGTGGAGGGGAATAGTGCCCCGTCATTGGTGTCAGTAGGGGGGATAGTGTCCCAACATTGGTGTCAGTGGGAGGGAGGAATAGTGTTCCCATCGTTGGTGTCAGTGGGGGGGAGGAATAGTGCCCCATCATTGGTGTCAGTGGGGGGGAGGAATAGTGCCCCATCGTTGGTGTCAGTGGGGGGGGGAGGAATAGTGCCCCATCATTGGTGTCAGTGGGGGGAGGAATAGTGCCCTATCATTGGTGTCAGTGGGAGGAATAATGCCTCATCATTAGTATCAGTGACACCAATGATGGGGCACTATTCCTCCCACTGACACGTAACTTGCTGACCCCTGCTCCAGCATGGTGCTGCTGCAGCCAGCATACCTGGTTGCAGCAGCACCATCTACACGGCACACTTACCTGTCAGCTGTCCTTCTCTCCGGCCTCTCCCTCCCTCGATGTTCGCAGGGCCGCTCGGCTCCGCTTCCTCACAGGTGATTGGCTGCCTGTGTACCTTTCCTGAGCTTCAGTTCTGGCACCCAATCACCGGCAAGGAGGCAGAGCCAAGCAGCAGGAGTGAGGGAGTGGCCGGAGTGAATGAAGGAGCAGCGCTTCCTGGACTGGATCATCGTGGGACTGGGACCGGAGCCAGGTAAGACACAGCAGCCCCCTGCCCACCCCTGTACTTAGTGTCCCTTCCTGTCCCGCCCCTGCCGACGGGCCAGATAAATGGCCTCAGCAGGCCGCATGTGGCCCGCGGGCTGTAGTTTGAGGACCCCTGGTGTCAGGGCTCCCGGTGTGTGACCAGAGTGTGTGACTGACGCAGGGAAAACGCAGACTTCAGATAGTGTTAATAAATTACATTGTTTATAACATAACAATACAAACATAAACGCAGTGCAATACTAAAACATAACACAGTGCAAACAAACCAAACCAACCACCCACAGATGACAGTACATACAATGCAAGCGTCGTCAGGCAGGCCGGGTCAATATCAATCGGGCAGGTAGGTACAGGGGGAGCAAGCGAGAATGGTCGGGGTCACAAGCCAGGTTCAGCAGGTAGCGGCAGCGTGGTACAGAGGGTCAGGCAGAGGAGAATGGTCAGACAAAGCCAAGGATCAGAGCAGGGTCAGCAGAGAATCAGACAGGAACAAGGAGCAGGAACAAGGAGCAGGAACAGGATACAGGCCCAGGAGAAACACAACACCAAGGCAGAGTCTGCAGGTCTGAATGTCCCTTAAATACACCAGTATAATTAGTTCCAGGTGTTTGACTGGCTGCAAGGTTGAGTCTCTGATTGCTGGGAGCACCCGCTGGCCAGCCCTGGTACTGCAGCTCATAAGGCAATATTGCTGGCCAGTCCATTCCTGACAGTACCCCCCCCCCTCAAGGAGCGGCCTCAGGACGCTCCAAACAGTCCTAGCTGGGCAAAATGTTCCACCGCCCGGGTCTGGTAACTGGCGGGATATCAAAGACTGGCACACCGGGCAGGACACCGGGCAGAGGCACATCGGGCAGAACTCTGGGCAGAGGCACTCCGGGCAGCGGCACACCGGGCAGAGGCACACCGGGCAGAGGCACACCGGGCAGAGGCACATCGGGCTGGACTCCGGGCAGAGGCACATCGGGCTGGACTCCGGGCAGAGGCACATCGGGCTGGACTCCGGGCAGAGGCACATCGGGCTGGACTCCGGGCAGAGGCACATCGGGCTGGACTCCGGGCAGAGGCACATCGGGCTGGACTCCGGGCAGAGGCACTCCGGGCAGCGGCACACCGGGCAGAGGCACTCCGGGCAGAGGCACATCGGGCTGGACTCCGGGCAGAGGCACATCGGATTACCAGGCGAAGCAGCAGGCACCGGGCCACCGGGCGGAGCAGCAGGCAGCGGGCCACCAGGTGGAGCAGCAGGCAGCGGGCCACCAGGAGGGGCGACAGGCATCGGGCACCCAGGCGGGGCGACAGGCATCGGGCCCACAGGCGGGGCGACAGGCATCGGGCCCACAGGCGGGGCGACAGGCATCGGGCCCCCAGGCGGGGCGACAGGCGCCGGACACCCAGGCGAAGCGACAGGTCTCGGGCCCCCAGGCGGAGCGGCGGGCGCCGGACCCCCAGGCGGAGAGACAGGTCTCGGGCCCCCAGGCGGAGCGGCGGGCACCAGACCCCCAGGCGGAGCGACAGGTCTCGGGCCCCCAGGCGGAGCGGCGGGCGCCGGACTCCCAGGCGAAGCGACAGGTCTCGGGCCCCCAGGCGGAGCGGCGGGCGCCGGACCCCCAGGCGGAGCGACAGGTCTCGGGCCCCCAGGCGGGGCGGCGGGCGCCGGACCCCCAGGCGGAGCGACAGGTCTCGGGCCCCCAGGCGGAGCGGCGGGCACCGGACCCCCAGGTGGAGCGACAGGTCTCGGACCCCCAGGCGGAGCGACAGGCACCGGGTCACCAGGCACGACAGTGGGCTCCGAGTCAACTGGCATGACCGCTGGCACTGGGTCAGACAATGGATCATCTGGCTGGACAGCGGGCATCGGGTCACCAGGCATCAGGTCACTTGGCTCGACAGCGGGCACCGCATCATCTGGCAAGGCAGTGGGCTCCGAGTCAACTGGCATGACCGCGGGCACTGGGTCAGACATTGGATCATCTGGCTGGACAGCGGGCATCGGGTCACCAGGCATCAGGTCATTTGGCAAGGCAGTGGGCTCCCAGTCAACTGGTATGACCGCGGGCACTGGGTCAGACATTGGATCGTCTGGTTGGACAGCAGGCATCGGGTCACCAGGCATCAGGTCATTTGGCTCAACAGCGGGCACCGTGTCATCTGGCTCAAGACAGTGGGCACCAAGTCACCAGGCACGACAGTGGGCTCTGACTCAATTGGCATGACAGCGGGCACCGGGTCATCAGGTACCGGATTGTCTGGCTCGACAGTGGGCATCGGGTCACCAGATATGACAGCGGGCACTGGGTCACCAGGCGTCAGGTCATTTGGTTCGCCAGCGGGCACCGCGTCATCTGGCAAGGCAGTGGGCTCCGAGTCAACTGGCGGGAACAGCGGGCACCGAGTCGTCTGGCAAGACTGCGGGCACCGAATCACCAGGCACGACAGTGGCTCTGACTCAATTGGCACGACAGCGGGCATCGGGTCATCAGGTACCGGATTGTCTGGCTCGACAGCGGGCATCGGGTCACCAGGTATGACAGCGGGCACTGGGTCACCAGGCACGACAGCGGGCACCGGATCAGGTACCAGATCATCTGGATCAACAGCGGGCATTGAGTCAACTGGCCTAATAGGATCATCAGGCTGGATCAGTTCATCATGCTGCGTACAGGCATCAGGCCGAGTAGAGGCTTCAGGCCGAGTAGAGGCTTCAGGCCGAGTAGAGGCTTCAGGCCGAGTAGAGGCTTCAGGCCGAGTAGAGGCTTCAGGCTGAACCACGGAAGGCAGGTTCTCAGACGGCAGGCTCACCGGTTTGGATACTGGCAGGATGGTATTGGTTGGAAAGAATTTTCGCTTTTTTTCTGGTTTTAACTACTGGAGCACTGCAAGTAAACGCAGGTCTGCAAACAAATGGAGAAGCTGGAGACAGAGAAGAACTGGAGGATGGAACAGGGGAGGGAACAGTTGCTATAGAGGGCTTTTTTACAGGGTTAAAGGCAGGATAGGTGCAGCGAGTGGGAACAGGGGACTGACATGCGGTAGATAGCAGGGCAGGAGGAGCTGTTGGGAATGCAGGAATAGAGCTTTGAGGAAATAGGTTAGAAGCAGGACTGGGTTCTTGAAAGCTGACTGAGGCTGGGTGTAACAAATCTGTCCATGTCTGCAGTATGGGTTGAACAAAGCTGAGCTTACACAAAGCCTGTCTGGTCAAAGACTGCACTGCGTTTATACAAGCCCTGGGTATATGTGGAATTACACCCCAAAATACATTCTGCTACTTCTACCGGGTATGGGGATACCACATGTGTGAGACTTTTTGGGAGCCTAGCCACATACAGGAGCCTGAAATCCAATGACCACTTTGAAAGCCTGAAAGTGCGTAACTTCTTCATTTCCATTCCTCACTACCTATCACAGTTTTAGAGGCCCTGAAATGCCAGGATAGCACCAACCCCCCCCCCCCCCCCAAAGACCCATTTTTTGGAAAGTAGATATCCCAAGGAATTTAAAAAGAGGCATGGTGAGTATTTTGCAGATCTAATTTTTTTCACAAGGTTTCAAAATATAAAAAAAAAGAAAAGAAAATATATGTTTTTATGTTTTTGTTTTCTTTCTTCATATTCCAAAAACTTGTGGCAACAAACAATATCTGCAAAATACTTACCATGCTTTTTATCAAATTCCTTGGGGTGTCTACGTTCCGAAAATGGGTCATTTGGGGGGGTTTGGTGCCATCTTGGCTTTTCAGGGCCTCCGAAACTGTGATAGGTAGTTAGGAAGTGTTATAAGGAAATAAAGCCCTTTAAAAGCCTGAAGGTGCTTATTGGAATTTGGGGTCCTGTACTTGGCTAGACTGCCAAACCTGTTGGAGATACAACAGCATGTACTATATGGTATTGTATGTTAATATCACTTGACCAGTAGATGGCACTATACACTAAAGTTTACTAGTTGTTGTATATCTGAAAACTTGTTAGTTCTTCCTTCTTCTCTATCATCTCTCTTCAGGAAATAATATG